ATTTCCGTCCAACTTTGACCCGTTGGACGATAATTTGGATGGTAACCCACCATTTCTAAAATGTGATTTTCCGTCCAACTTTGACACACTAGACAGTAATTCCAACCAACCGGTTGGTCAGAAATTGTGACTAACTTTGACCATTTGGACGAAAATTTCACATGATAATCCACTTTTTAGAATGGGATTTTCCGTCCAATTTTGAGCTGTTGGATGGAAATTGGCAGGAGAATTTAAAGTTTTAATATTTTTTTGTATTTTGATCTTACTATAATTTGGTTTTACCTGTGGTCAATATAATCTATATGATCAACAAAGTAATATACACACTATCTGAATTCATAATAAAAATATTTAAATATAAAAATTTATTTACAACAAAAAGATAGTTAAGTGTGCATAAACATTTAAGCAGTGCAGTATATTGCCATACACACCAAAAAAGAGTCATACAACATGAAGTACTTAATCTTCATCAGAAGGAGCTTGTGTTTCATCATTTAGTGAGCTAGAGTTGAACAACTCAGGATTTGCACTAAACTGTGCAAATATAGCACCCATCTTTGCAAGTTCTTCTTTGATAATCTTGTTTTCTTCTTGAAACATTTTGTTTTCTTCTCTCATTTGTTGAATTTCTGCCATCAAAGCTGCATTTGAAGATACGCCCCAGCCTGAGATTTTGATTTCTTTGAAGCTTCAGAAAAATAGTGTTGCGTATCCGAGCCAAAGCCATATACTTTGCCTCCCCTCTTTACACCACCGGTGGCCTCCAACCACAGCTCTACATCTGATGCATCAGTGTGAGTCTGTCACAATTCACTCATTATATCCTATAAAATAAGATATACACATATTGAGACAAAATGTTGCCAAGACAGAATGAAGCTACTGGCATCAATTAAGGTGATATATGTGTACCAAGTCTTAATTAGAAAATCTAAGCATGAATCAAGGTGAAGTTGTTGGCATCAATCAAGAATTGCAGTAGTTAATGCTTATATTAATTGCAGTTATATGGACTCTGTATGTAATCCTACTTTTCTAAAACAAAGTATTTTCATTTACTAAAATAATTTAATGTGACACTTTTAATAGAGCTAGGTTATATTAGAAAAGATTCTTACCACAACTTTTTGAGCTTTTGCACAAACATATGCTCTATCTCCATTTTTCTGTTTATGAGTATGTTGATACAACTCTGCAAGACTTGGATCTTTTCCAAATTTTTCTTTCTATTCAAGAATAATGCAACATATTTAGTATAATTTTATAAGTAAGCTATTTTAATTTAATTTTTTTTCTTCAAACTTACCAGTCTTCGGCGATGTTTAGTCATAGGAATAGAACCACAACTGTGAAGCGATGCACCTAGTCCTCCAGAATTTGAATTTTTATTAATCTTGTTTTTCTCCGAGAGCTTTTTGAAATCATCACTCTCCCAAATGCGGACCAACTCATCTAGCACATCATTAGGAATCCAATGTGGTTTGTCTTTGTTTGTTGCCAAGCCCACGCGAACCTGTCGCAAATGATCTGTAAGGAGCTTTGCAGCTCTTTTCTCAAAGATGCGATGTATAATATTCTCCTCTAGTGGATCCCATCTATAATTTTTCTATAATCATCAAAAGTGAAAATTAGCAAACAAGTAATGTAACCACTCAACAGAAACAACACAACACTATATCCTGTAAGTATGCACAACAATGGCTCTAGACTTCATTACAAAGTAGTAACTAATCACTAGACACTTCCCACATCTCATAGAGAAACTTTACCAACTTAGCATTGTAACTTGGGATTATGCATTGCAAATCAATATGTAGGGAGTGGGCTATATGCATATAACTTCATTCCACCTACCCACTGAATAATCTATACAAAGAAGCTAACAACTAAAAAACTTCTATAAAATCCAAAAAACAAAATAGTCATTATTGACACATCTAAAAGCTATCCACCCAGGCAAACAGATCTTGATCATCCAGAAAATTACTGGCCATATATACCACTGCAGAGAGTATTTATTATTCTGAAAATAGTATTAAGTTTGTGCCCTAAAATTTTATTTTATAAAATTACTAATAAATTAATTTGAGAAAATTACTCAAAATAATATAATCTTTTGGTAATGCACTAGTGCATGATCTATATAAAATAACATTAACAACTAAAAAATAATAAGTTCTACTGTACTTGTAAAATGCATTAATATTTTTACCACAAAAGTTTAGTTTAAAACATGTTTGACTTAATTTCATCATGTGTACCGTCTACTTGAGACATAAATGCTTACCTTAAACTCATTAAACCACACGTCCTTCAGATATTGAGGAGCAGCCTTAAATGATTTTATAGCTTGCGGGTATGTCTTTTGTATGCAATCGATGATTCCACGATGTGCTGAATGAGGCTCAAATCTGAATTATAATGCAATGTTAGGTTTTATGGCATTTATATAATATATGTGAAAATGTATAGTACTTACGCTTCTCCGCCTATTGGGTGAATCAGAGTCCTACGGTCATTTGGAGTTGTGCTCGATGGAACATCTGATAGCTCAGAAGTCGGTTGAGAAGTATGTTCAATGGCTGCTTCAACAGTATGCTCACTCTCCCTGGAAGCTGAGGCAGTACGCTCAGAATCAGTGTCATGCAGATGCCTTCTGACTTCATTACTTTTTGTTGTCACTCTATTTTCTTCTTCCGAGACATTAATTACTGGATGCAATGATGACGGTTGTGACAAGTGAAGCTGTGATTGAGTACTTGTACATGTCTTCCTTTTACTCCCTCTATTTCTTTTATGTTGAGACATCTATATAGCACCATAGGATGACAGTCAAATGCAATTAATAAAATACAATATTAATGGTTAAAATTAAATATACATGGTTAAAAATAATATACTAGATCCAAATCCTTAGGACATCTATATGTGGTTCACATGCAAAATGATGCTTATGAGGTCATAAGAAAAACAAACTGAGGGAAGAATTCCCAGAACTGCCACAAACATATCATCAAGGCAAAGAAAGCAAACTAAAGAAGCTTGCTGAAAAAGGATGTTGGGATATTGCTGAGGCAAGGACAAAGAATGATAAAAAAATTCTTGAGTATTTGATTTATTTGGCAATGGAACCTGGGTACATGAAAAGGGAAGCTTACCTAACAAGGTTTCTATAATGCAAATTGCTTCTGAAAGGAAGGCTTGCATACTTGATCTTATAAAAGTATACAATGATATTCAGATATTTTAGATGACTGCCTAGTGCGAATACTTCATTCTCCTAGAATACTAAAACTTGGGTACAAAAGCATCCCAGTTTTATATGAACCTTGTTAGTTGCAGAGTGATATTGAGCATAGCAGTTCTAGATATATGAATAGCATTCAAACAGAGCAGTTCAACAACCGTCCTAAATGAGCACAAAACACATAGATGAATTTACACAACAGTTGCAAAGAGACTACCAAAACAAATCTTTTTCAGATGTATGAACAAGCGAATTGCATTTGTACAAATAGAGGCATGAAGTTTTACCTTGAAGCCTTCCCAAAAGAGCACCACTACCAAAACCTCCAATTACCGAATTCAACAAGTCATCAGGTTTTCCAGTTCTACTTACTCTTACAAACTCTCGAGCACCTGGAAAACATCAATGTCACCACAAGCATTGATCTCAATAGCATCCCAATTGTCATTTGTCTACCAAAATATCTCTTGTAAAGGATAGATCATATACTGACCAGCAGTCAGCATTTCATATAAAAAATCATTCCTTTTTAAGAGTATAATATAATACCCAGCTATATAATCCTTTAACCCACACTATCCACCACCAACACTAGTCAACTAATCTTTTACCTATTCCACAACACCCCCAAAAGCATCCCAGTTCAATACATCATTTTCTCACAAAAATTTTTTTAAAAAAACAATCAATTACCATAAAAAGGGTTAATGAGTGGATTGCTAATAACAGTTCAACAGCAAATAGGCTAATAAATCATTTAACAGTTCAATACAGCAAATAGGCTAATATAATAGTTTAATAGTTCAATACATCGTTACCTGGTAGGGTTATATGAAGGATCCCAGAGGACACATATCATCAACAACAACAAATAGGCTAATAAAATCCAGTTGCATGCCTGCGAAAATGGATATTGTTAGCACTTGGTGAGATTTCACCGTTTCTCGTTACTCTTGAGTAAAGAAACGGAAGAGAAAGGAGGGATGAAAACCTCATAACCTATTCGCAAAGCAGAACTGAAATGGCAAGGGCATTGACTTCTCCCCTCTTTAGCCCTAAAAGATTAGCGGGAGATTTCCCCCCTATATTTTGCTTCTGGCGGGCTCCAATGGATTTTGCTTCCCAAAATTGCTAAGTATTCATTTATATATGGATAAATACCGCAACAATGACTTCTCCCCTTTTTTATAATAATAATAATAATAATAATAATAATAATAATAATAATAATAATAATAATGTATCTTAATCAAAGTAGCTTAAAAAAAGTATAAAAATTAAAATAATAAATAACATAAAAAAAGTTGTAGGACCAATCACTCATCTTCTCTGTCATCAGTATCTTCAAAAACAACTTCTTGATCAGTTTCTTCACTATCATCCTCTATTTCATTTTGGTCATCTAGTCCATCAAGACCTCCAATTGTGTCGACTTCAACTTCAGTCAAAGCAAGTGGAACATGCAACAATTCTTCTGCCTCCTCTTGCACTACATTCACATCATTTGTTGGCACATGTATGTTATCTTGTTGATAAGTCTCAGTGTGCTTATAAGCATTATCGATGGTTCCTCTTGGTCTAACATTTAAAACAACCCACCAATTCAATTTTTCCCTTATACTTCTAGGATATGGAATATAACACACTTGACATGCATTTTGTGCAATTATAAAAGGATCATACTTCCTATATCGTTTCCTACAATGAACCTCCACAACACCACTATCAGAATTCAATTTTGTACCAGTATTTGGGGTTGGGTCAAACCATTCGCAATTAAAAAGCACCACCTTCTTTAATGGAATATTTGGATACTCCACTTCAACAATCTCTTTCAAAGTGCCAAAGAAAAGTGAATCACCAAGTGACAAACATGTTCCCTTTATGGATACTCCAAAATTATTTGTTGCCTTTCTAATACAATGGTGTTCAGTTTGGAACTTGAAACCATTAACCGCATACCCGTTATATGTAGTGGCTTGCATTAGTGGGCCACATGCCAAATCAATCAAGGCTTGGTTTCCCACATTATTTGCAAGATTGTATACCTGTCAAGTTCAATTGTTAAAAAATGTTTATAGCATATATATGAATAAAAAAAAAATTTTTAAAAATGAAATTTTTTAAAACATATTACATAATCTCTAAACCAGCTAGCAAAACTCCTCTCAACTTCCTGGTCAATCTCCTCATTAGTGGCACCTGGATTATACTGGCGTAAACCTGTCTCATACAACCTACAATGACAAAATTTGTAATTAGTCAAAACATAATAATGCATATTGATGAACATCTTTCAAATTTCGACCAATGCGTGTCCTCCTACTTTGGACATGATCTTCAAAGTAAAATGAAGCGAAATGCGTTGTCTCTTCAATCAAGTATGCATCACATATCGACCCTTCAACATATCTCTTATTCTTCATTTTAGATTTCAGATGGTTAATGAACCTTTCAAATGGATACATCCAGCGATATTGAACTGGTCCACCTAAACGTGCTTCATCAACCAAGTGTATAGGCAAGTGTTCCATGCAATCAAACATCGCTGGAGGAAAAATACGCTCTAACTTGCAGAGTATAAGGACAATAGAAGTTTTCATTTCATTCAACGTGTCGACCCTGAGATTCGTTGAGCATAGATTTCGGAAAAAAGTGCTTAACTCAACTAAATCCTTCCAGTGTGATTTTGGTAAAAAGAAAAAGGCAATTGGCAAAAGACACTGCATAAAAATGTGGCAATCATGACTTTTCATCCCACATAATTTTGAACACGTTGAATCTACACAGTTACTTATATTTGAAGAAAATCCATCAGGTAATTTTAGAATTTTTAACCACTCATAAACAGCAATCTGATGATCTCGGCTCAAACTGTAGCTCGCCTTTGGCATAAGATATCGTCCATTATGTTCCACCAATTCCAATTGTGGCCTATGACATAAATCCTTTATATCCAAACGAGCAGCAGGTGTGTCTTTGTTTTTCCTTGTTCCTTTAACATCCATAACTGTGTGGAAGATGTTATCAAACACATTCTTCTCTATATGCATTACATCAAGGTTATGACGGAGGAGGTTATCTTTCCAATATGGTAAATCCCAGAAGATACTTCTTTTCTTCCAATTATGTGAACATCCAAACCCTTCAAGTCGACCAATTGGGCCATCAGTAATCTTTGGGAACATCAGTACAGTAGCCAACAATTCTTCTCCTGTCCAAATCCTCGGGGGTCTTGACTTCTCTACCCGTTGTTTGATGAAAGAATCACGATTTTTTCTAAAGGGATGATCCATTGGAAGAAATTGTCGATGACAATCAAACCAACATGTCTTACGCCCATTCTTTAAATAAAAAGATTTAGTGTAATGATTGCAATAAGGACATGCTAGTTTTCCCGCGGTTTGCCATCCAGATAACATACCGTAAGCAGGAAAGTCATTGATGGTCCACATCAACATAGCTCGCATCATAAAGTTTTGCTTTAACGAGACATCATAAGTTAAAACTCCTGTCTCCCATAGCAATTGCAACTCATCGATTAAATGTTGTAGGTACACATCAATATTGGTCTTTGGGTTGTGCTCCCCAGGAATAATACAAGTTAAAAATGTATATGGGGGAGTCATGCACATTGAAGGTGGAAGATTATATGGAACAATCATAACTGGCCAACAAGAATATGATTTAGCATTTAAACCAAATGGAGAAAAGCCATCAGAACACAAACCTAGTCTGACATTACGAGGATCTGCTGCAAAGTCAGGATATTGACTATCAAAGTGTTTCCATGCCTCACCATCAGAAGGATGACACATAACACCTGGTTGGCGACGATTTTCATAATGCCATCTCATGTGCTCAGCAGAACTAGGTGATGCATACAATCGCTGCAATCTAGGGATGATAGGCAAGCAATGCATCCTTTTCTTGGGCACTTCTTTCCCACGAGTACAATTAGGTGGACGTGGTTTAAAACGAGGCTCACCACAAAACTTACACTGCCTATCATTGATATCAGACTTATAGTATAACATGCAGCTATTAACACAACAATCCATCTTCTCATGATCAAGACCAAGCTTTGAGATCAATTTCTCTGAATCGTAATACCTAGACGGTACTCGATTATCTGGACCCATTATATGCTTATTGAACTCAAATATTTCATCCATTGCTAGTTGCGGAATGTTATAGCTTGCCTTTATATTCATCATCTTAAGTGCATATGACAACTCTGTTTCCTCAGCACAAGTAGGGGATAAAGGTTGCCTAGCAGTGCTTAATAAATCATAAAAGTTTTGTGCACTTGTATGTGGATCTTCTTCTTGGTTATTTTGCACATTAAATGGAATAAATGATGAACCACCTACATCAAACACCATTGTTTCATACTGATTGTTTTCATTACGTGTCTCTGGAAATTGTTCATTTACTGTGGGAATAGGCTCACCGTGAGACGTCCATACGCAATAATACGGTTCAAATCCCTTCTTATACAAGTGAACACGGACTTCATCAGCAGCTAAGTGTACTCTATTCTTGCATTTACTACATGGACATCTAATTGTATTTGTCAACTTGTATACTGGAAGTGTGCATGCATAATTAACAAATTCATCAACACCAGCTAAAAATTCATCAGTGTATCCTCTCTTTCCTGGCAACAATCGATTATACATCCATTTTCGATGTTCTGGTATACTATCCATATATGCCTAGTATAAAAATATAAATATCTCAAAATTACAAAAATATTACACACACACACACACACACATATATACAAACACTGTTATAATAACACTATTATTATTATTATTATTATTATTATTATTATTATTATTATTATTATTATTATTATATATATATATATATATATATATATACTAATATTATTATTATTATTATTATAATATGTTCATATATAACACGCACAAGTATATATATACTATACACGCACAAACACTATATATATATACACTATAAATTTGTAAGTAAAAAACAACTCAAAATCACAAAAACTATCCATATACTATACACAAAGGATTTTATATAATAACATTGCAATTGTATGTTCATATACTATACACAAACACAAATACAAATTAAAAGCTATTATTTTTAAATAATACCTGGATTTGGAATATATTTTGTCGAAAATAACACTAGATGTTGTTATCCATGCTAATTTTGAACAAAGAAGTAAATTTTTACAATGGAGAAGAGAGTAAAAATGGAGAAAAGTTGAAGAAAATGAGCTGAAATGCGCAGGTTGAGCCTTAAAGATTCAAATTTCCGTCCAACATTTTGTTGGACGGTAATTAATAAATACCTACCAGTTTCTTTTTCACCTACCGGTCAATTCAATTTTCCGTCCAACGTGCAACCGTTGGACGGTAATTCTGACCAACATTTTTGTAGGGCGGAACTTCCGTCCAATGCGCGACTGTTGGACGGAATATTTGTCCAATTTTCCGTCCACTTCTATTTACAACGAAAAGTTATGATATTTTGCAAATTACCGACCAACATTGTTATTGAACGGAAATGTTGGACGGAAATAGACAAATTTCCAGCAGTGTGTGTATATGACTGAGATCTTAGTTTTGCTATAAACACTTTATATTACAAGCATATGTTGATTTTTGGTAGTGGTAGTAAATCTTTAAATCATAGAAAATAAAGATAATATAAATAATGAAATTTTATTTCTTTTTAAATTTTTATACTGAATAATTCTTTTTAAATAGAGACATTATTCCCAATGTGTTTTGCTGGGCTTGAAATAATTGATGGGCTGAAGGGCAGATTTAAGTTGGGCCGTGAAGCTGGGCTGAACGAATTAAATCTGGCTGAATTTAATTGTCTGGGCCGATGAAATGTGGGGCTGATTAGGGAATTAATTCCCATTGGGCCGAATAAGCCCTTTAGCTTTTGGGCTCTTTTATGTTGTTAGCCTTTGGGCCTTTTACTTGTAAGCCTTTAGGCCTTTTTCTGGTTAGCCTTAGGGCCTTCCCTAAGACCTTTAATTAGGGCAAATTATATTGGGTACTAGGGTGCACAATCCAAAACGACGTCATTTTGATTATGTTCTTTTTTTTTTTTAAGAAAATTTGTTTCCCGTTTCTATTGTTAAATTCAAAAAAAAAAAAAAAAAAAAAAAATCTTTGTTTCGAATGTACATAAACTTATAACAGAATACACATAATACATAATACACATAAACTTATAACAGAATACACATAATCTAACATAATACATAATACACATAAACTCATAACAGAATACACATAATCTAACATAATACATAATACACATAAACTCATAACAGAATACACATAATCTAACATAATACATAATACACATAATCTAACATAATACATAATACACATAAACTCTTAACAGAATACACATAAACTAACATAATAAATAATACACATAAACTCTTAACATAATACACATAAAATCTGAATAATAAAAACGATATCGTTTTGGTCAAAGCGCACAATGCATTGTACGCCCTGGTGGCCGGTACACGATATAACAATTGTTTAATTAGGTCCATTGGTAGATTAGGAGTTTAGCCCTTTGTTGTGTTAGGCTTTTTTGGGCCTCTTGTATTTTGAGTCTTAGGTCACTTTTGGCAATCGTTATGACATGGAACCGTGTTCACCATTCATGGTGAACACGGTTCCAATGGTGTTAGTACATCGTTATTTTTTTTTAATTAATTGCGTGACTTTTTTTCTTTATTTTCACATTTCGCGGTTTCACTTTAATTTGAGGTGAGCAATGATTTCGGACATTCATAAATTATGAATTCATGCCTGCACATTCACTTTGGAACCATGCCTACACATTCCCGTCCGAAATCACGGACATTCATAAATTATGAATCCATGCCTGCACATTCACTTTGGAACCATGCCTACACATTCACTTTGGAACCATGAGATTATGAATTTTCTGTTATAAGATTATGAATTTTCAGTTATGAGATTATGAATTTTCAGTTATGAGATTATGAATTTTCTGTTACGAGATTATGAATTTTCTGTTATGAGATTATGAATTTTCTGTTATGAGATTATGAATCTACATTACATTCATAATCTCATAATTCATAATCTCATAACAGAAAATTCATAATTTAATAAATATTTTACTTTTATGCGATTATGAATTTTCTGTTATGAGATTATGAATTTTCATTACATTCATAATCTCATAACAGAAAATTCATAATTTGATCAAACGCGCGCCGTTAACTCCACATCCGCGATTTTTTTTTTTTTGGTAAAAACGACGTCGTTTGGACTTGTGTTCACCATTCACGGTGAACACGTTTCCAGGGCATAATTTGCGCACTTTTGGACCTAAGGCGTTTGTAAGGCTTTCTGCCTCCTATTTCGTTTAATGAATGTTACGGTTTATTTGACATCAAAAAAATATATATATTATAGACATCTAACTCTAAATTAATTAAATATAAATATATTATTTTTTGTTGTAGCTACTAATTTATTTTTTTAATTTAATAAGAGCAATAAAGTGGCGTACATACTTTTCATCCACAATAATGAAATCATTGATTGTTTTTTTTAATTTCCATTCGTTGTTGAGACAAATTATTTTTACAGGGCGTTTGGTTTAGGGATGACAACGGGGCGGGGGCGGGGGCGGGGAGTATACTCCCCGTCCCCGCGACACCGTCCCCATCCCCGTCCCCGTCCCCATCCCCGGCGGGGAATTGAAAATATTCCCCATCCCCATCCCCACGGGGAATTAGCCGGGGACGGGAATTCCCCATTCCCCGTTAACTCCTAGTCAAAATGTTAAATTTTTAATTTTTGTTAATAAAAAATTTAAAATCTAAGTCTTAGTTTCAAAACTAAAATACTAACTCTACAAATAAATAAATAAATAAAATACTAACAATATACTATTTATATTTATATATGCAATGAAGTATATACAGTAGCAATACTGCAACTTATATAAACAGTAAAAACATTAACTATATATATATATATATATATATATATATATATATATATATTCATTACATATATAAATATATATAGTATTCTGTTAGTATTATATATATATATATATATATATATATATATATATATATATATATATTATTCAGGGACGGGGTGGGTATATATATTATTCGGGGACGGGGTGGGGCGGGGAGGGGTATCCCCGTCCCCGTCCCCGTCCCCTACGGGGAATTACACATATTCCTCGTCCCCGTCCCCGATCCTCAAAAATTTTCTCCATCCCCGTCCCTTTCGGGGCGGGGATCGGGGATCCCCGTCGGGGACGGGGCACATTGCCATCCCTAGTTTGGTTGGAGGGGGGAATTATGTGGGAAATGAATTGTAATTCCATGGGAGTTGAATTACTGGGAATAAAGTGTGAATTTAAATTCTAGTGTTTGGTTGACAGGAACAGAATTACTGGGAATTTCAATTCCAATGTTTGGTATACATGGGAATTGAAAGGGAATAAGTAGTATAAAGTCAAAAATGTTCATTATTGTTGTTAGACATTAATTTTAGGTTAAAAAAGGAAGGGGTAATTTTGACTCATCACTATCTTTTTTCCCAGGAATTAAAATCTCACGGGGACATGGGATTTTAATTCCATGAAAATGGGGGAATTGCAATTCCATGAAATTACAATTCCCTCCAACCAAACTACGGAATTTAATGGCCTTTGGAATTAGGTAGGAATTAAGTGGGAAGGGAATTTAAAATCCCTCCAACCAAACGCCCTGTTAGAGTTTGTCAATGACAATTGCTGTCAATAGATGATGGATGATAATAAATAATTCAAAATATAATGTTACAATAGATGTTTTTATAATAATATGGTAAAAGTTAACTTACAAATCTCCTTAAAAGTTTTCATGGGTAAATCATGGTCCATGCAATAATGATTAGTTTCCATGCAATGATAAAAGCATAATTGAAATAATAAGGGTCCGTTTACTAACAGAAAACTGTTTTATGTTTTCAGTTTTTTAATTTTTCAGTTTTCATTCTCTATTTTCCATTCCTTATTTTCTTTTTAGAAAACTTGTTTACTAACAGAAAACTGTTCTTTGTTTTATGTTTTATAATTTTCCAGTTTTCACCTAAAATTTAATTTAGATAATATTAATATTAAATTAAAAAATTAACTTATAATTATTTTTTTAATGAAAAAAATCAAATGATTTTCAAAGTTCATGGTTATAATCATTGAACACTATGTATTTAATCGGGCTAATTATTTGATCAAAGTTTTTATGTTAAATTTTATATTGTATTTTTTAATACATTTTAACATATTCGTAGTATATGTTTAACAATTATGCCAACTCTAATTGAGATGATGTTCGAACCTAAGACTTTTCTTATATAAATTAATGAGTAACTTAAAAATAATAAATAGTTAACGGAATATTCAATTTTAAGAAACAATTAGCACCAACATTTTTTTATTCCCATTAATGACTTAATATTATTGGCTCTTATTAGAATTGCAATATGACAAGATATAATCGTTATGTGAGTCTTAAAAAAAATATAGTTAATTATTAAAATGGTCATTTGATTATAGTGAAATTATTAAGTTCGTCCAATTAAGTCTCTCAACTTTAAAAATCTTAATCAATTTGGTTCTCCATTTATTTTGCCGCTAAACGTCGGTTAACTTAGGATTAAATTAGTAATTTTGCTACAATCAAGAGACCATTTTGTTCATCATATACACTATTTTTTCGAAAAATTAATTACTAAATAGTTCTTGATTATAGTGAAATAAAATCCCGAATTAACGGATGTTGAATAGCAAAATAAATGAAGGACTAAATTAATTAAAAATTTTAAAATTGAGAGGTTTAATTGGTCAAAAAATAATTAATGACTAAATTAATAATTTTATTATAGTCAAAGAAACATTTCGATAATTAACTCAAAAAATATGAATATTAAAATTTTGAATTTTGAATTTTGAATTTTGAATTAGAAAATAAAAATAAGGAATAGAATTGAGAGTTCACTAAAAAAAACTCATAAAGACAGAGAAGGGAGAAGAAGATCACACATTCCCCAGTTGCCAGGAACGAACTGAAGAAGGAAGCGCAGTGCGAAGATGGAGGCATGCAAATCTCGCGCCTTTTCTTCCCCATTCATCTAACTTCTGCTCAGCGTTATAATGACACAAACTTCCATTTCTTTCCCCTTTCGGAATTTGCAGGGAACCGCCATTTCTAGAGCCTTCAAGCTTCTCCTGTTCTTCATTGCCGCTTCTCTTTTCCGCCACTCGTCTTCCCTAACAGTCTGCTTCTTTCTATCTTCATTATCATCTTTGTCCTATTTATTATTATTTCTTACGTTAAACTACCTTCGAATCCGGTAAAGGTTATCCGTTTATTTCTTGTCTGATTAGATCGGAGAAACGTGTTCAACTTCAAGCAATAACTGCGATGCCGGCTTGCTCTGTTCCACGTGTCCGGCGAACGGAAATACGCGGCCCCGATGCACTCGTCATCAGCCCACCATTCCCACCACTAAGGTGATTTAGTAAACTAGTGAAATTGTTTTTAAATTACAGTAAATTTTCTGGGAAATTAACTTCAATTTTCTTGGTCTGGGATGAGAAAAGATCAAAGGATTGCCGTTCAACAAATACTCATGGCTCACCACCCACAACTCATTTGCTATTTCCGGGTCCAAATCCGCCACCGGCTCTGATATTTTTGCTCCTACCAATCAAGAAGATTCCATCACTGCTCAGCTTAAGGTCTGTCCTTTAATCCTTCCAACTATTTTTTTGATTGAAGACTGGCCAGAAAAACCCGCAGCCATTATCAAAGTTGTGCACGGGTAAACCGTACTACAGGTTGTCCATAGCTGGATTGCTCAAATCAATAAGGCTAATAGGCCGCTCTCATAGGGAGTTGGACTTACTATTTTCTTTTTCTTTATTCTCCTTAATTAGCAAGATCATCATTTTTTGGAAATTGAAGTAATTGATTGGTATGGTCATGGAAATGACAATGCAACTAATTTTGGTTGGCAGAGTAACATGTAAGCATGTTCTTTCACCTAACCACTCTATCCACTTGCTGTTGTCCAACAAATTGTAGGCTTAAAGTTTAATTCCTAGGTACTACTGCATCGCTGAGTCACTGTGATTTATTCCTCCACAATCCTGTTAGCTCGGGGTGTGAGGCTCTTGGGGCGAGGGATTTTGCCTTTTGTGGGCAAATGCTTAAAGTTTAATTTAGTATTTAAGTACAATAATAATAATAATAATATCTTTGTTAGTGCTGTTATTTCAATTGGATTCCATGAGATTGCCTTTTATCACAGTACAGTTGTCATCTTTTTTCTTTTCTGTGTGGAAAGAATGAAAGATGGATTCTTTGGCACTAAGCAAGTCCTAAAGTTCTGAGTTAAGACTTAAGGCCAACTTTAGGAGCCAAAGGAGATATTTTGAAGTTATTCTGATCCCTCCTCTGGACTCATGGAATTGTAAAAACACAAAACATAAATTTCAAAATATGATTATGATGTTTGAACTCGAAGCTGTCGTCTTTAAGCTACTAATCCTATTTTTTTAATTATCATTGTTTGGCACAAATGATTCTGACAATTCGAGGATCAGTAATCGGCTGATATCAGGATTAGTGAGGCAATGAATTCTACTATGTTGCTTGTTATCGTGAAACTTAGCTTCCCCTATTCTGAAGCGCAATGCAATTCCATGAATAAAGGATTTTATTTCTCTATTATAGAATGGCGTTCGAGGGCTCATGCTTGATATGTACGACTTCAACAATGATATCTGGTTGTGTCACTCGTTTGGTGGGAAGTGTTTTAATCTTACAGCATTTGTAAGTGCATTGATGGATCTCTGTTATCTGTATCGTTTATTTAGCAAAAGAGTGCCTAGCAAATGTAGTTATCGTCATATTTGATTGAATGCAAACTTTTGTGTTTTCTTTCCCCTCTTTGGTTTCTTCTAGCAACCGGCAATTAATGCATTGAAAGAGATTCAAGTATTTCTTGAAGCAAACCCATCTGAAATTGTCACCATTTTCATTGAGGACTATGTTGCATCTCCCCAAGGATTAACAAAGGTTTTCAAAGCATCTGGCCTTAATAAGTACTGGTTTCCAGTTTCTCGAATGCCAAAAAATGGTGAAGATTGGCCTATAGTGGATGATATGATCAAGCAGAATCAGCGTCTGGTGGTCTTTACCTCTAAAAAATCTAAAGAAGCTTCTGAGGGGATTGCTTACGAATGGAGATACGTAGTAGAAAACCAGTGTGAGTTTCATTTATTCAATTGACCATGTAGGTTTAAATTTCTCATTTCATAGTATATGCTTATTCTTGCATTTCTTGAATCCGAAATTCTACATTTATCCTTCCTGTTTAAAGGTACTTGATGATTTCCCTAGCATTCAGGTTAAGCTCCTCTCGGTACTAAATGTTCCATGTGATATTTGTATGCATTAACAGATGGAAATGGTGGTTTAAAATCCGGTTCCTGTCCAAGCCGTTCAGAATCTTCTCCGATGAATACAAAAACAATCTCGTTGGTTCTCCAGAACTACTTTCCAGACAATCCCAACATGACAGTTGCATGTGCAGATAATTCTGCTCCGTTGCTTAGTATGACAAATACTTGCTACGAAGCATCTGGCAAGCGTTGGCCAAATTTCATTGCAGTTGACTTTTACCAGGTAGAGATACCGAGTGTATGCCCATGTCTCCAGATTCATTTCGATTTGCTTTCTTTTGGGATAACTCGGAAGTTTTGTATGGCTAGTGCCTCATGTTGTCTGCTTCTTGTTGCAGAGGAATGATGGTGGTGGAGCATCGGAAGCTGTGGATCGCGCCAATGGCCATTTGACTTGTAATTGTGACAGCATTGCCTATTGCAAGGTTTGTTAATATTACTACTTCAACCAGAAAACACACACACAACAACAACAACAAAATTGTTAGTGTATAACAGAGCTAGAGTAAATACCCAAAATGGTCCCTCAACTATGCCATAATTCACAAATTAGTCATCGACTATCTATTTTACCAATTAAGTCAATAATTCACAAATCAATCCTTCGTTGAGGACCTTATTGATTAAGAATTGAATAGTTGAGGACTTCATTGAGTAGTTGAGGATCTTATTGAGTAATGATGGATTAATTGAGGACTTAATTTGCTAAACTTGATAGTCGATGACCAATTTATGAATTCCGCTATAGTTGAAGGATCATTTTGGCTATTAACTCACAAAACTATTATCCCATCGTGTTTGATTTAATGTCTTTTTGCTCAAGCAACCGAAGTCCGTAAAAAATATGGAGTGCCAAATTTCTCATACGGGTGGTTATTAGTGAATTCAACTCAGGAAACATTAGAAGAAAAAAACCGTGAAAAATACTATTATCCCGCCGTGTTTGATCTAATGTTTCCCTTAGGTATTTAGTTGAAACGGAACGTACCTTTCAATTCAGATAATCAATAGGGGCTCTACCAAATTTCACACTACTAAATGCCTCCTTGAATTCATGGCATGTTTTTCTGTGTTCACGGGCTTTTTCCTTCTAATTTATATATACATTTGCTTCATTTATTTTCTCATTTATTGCCAGATAAATGGTTCATCTACCAAATGTGAAGTACCTAAGCTATCACCTCCACCACCGGCACAATTGACACCTACAACAGTAAAAGAAACATCCAAAGACACTAGCAGCTATTCTAAGATAAGCAGACCACTCCATCTTCATTGGTTGGTTGGTTTAATTATTACCATGTTTTTTTGAACCCATTTTTCGTGTTCACTTGTAGAGGTTTGCCAATTGCCATTCTCCGAGACACTACGATGTATAATGTTATTCTTTGTATTATTGTGCATAGTACTATGAAAGCATCGTTTGTGACATGATACAACTTCCCACGGTCAATTGTCCTGTTTACTCTGTTGTGCTGAACAACGAAATATGCATTTTCTGGGCATCCTAAGCATGCTAGCATTTGGTTAGGAACGTGAAACCAATGACTTGATCAGGGTTACAAAATCGACTTCCAACAGAAGTGACCTATTAGCCTTTTTAATTTAAACCTGTTAACTATATGAGTAACTTAGGTTGATTTACCCCCTTGTGGTCTTTTGCCAACTTGAGCACAAGTAGAGTCTACTTAATGCTCAACATTGGATAATGACTACAAATTTCTTTTGTCACTCAAAAAAAAAAAAAAAAAAAAAAACAAAACAAAACAAAAAAGAAGCCATGCTGTCTAGGCAAAAGATTATACAATAACAATGTGACAAATACACCACTACAACACATAACGTAAGTTTTGGCACTACAACACATAACGTAAGTTTTGGAACTATAATAGGATAACAAACCTTTTAATGTGGGACTGAAAACTGAAAACAAATTGCTTCGTGTATCTATGAATGATTGCAGACAAATATGGAAAAAGGAAAATATACATGATTATTGAAAGAAAACAAATATACCCCCACCCATGATTCAATCGTAAATGCTCCTGTAGAGCTTCAGATGTTTTATTAGCTTCACTGACATGTCTACCTTGATGATCACTGCAACTCTCCAACAGGCGCTTCGTTGAGCCACAAGAAATGAATGAAGTCGTACAACTTTGCACTAACACTGACCTGATCAGTTGATAGTTTAGAAAGAAAAAGTCCAATCAGCTTTACAATGTAATACTATGTTCTAATAGTTCTACTTCATTGTATACATGTTTGCATAATTCATATATACCTTGTAAGGTGTTGGGTTCAGCCTTCTCATGTGATCAGGGCGCATTTGACTCAGATGCTCAATGCAACGTTCTCTGATCTGCTTAAGGGGTGGCAAAACCTCTCTTGTTTTATCTTCAAAATCAGAAAGCACCGTCAATTTTATCAGGGGAGGGGAATATGATTTTTTTCATTATAATCACAGGGCTCCTCAGAAGTTAGAAAAGCATTTTAAACTTGACAAGATATCATGATATGCTGTTGTAGTAGGCGGAGGGAAGGAAGATAAAATGCATCTTTTGAACTTTCAGCTTAAGCCTTTCCAAAATACCAACCGTAATTTAAGCTCACCTGAAGAACCAGGCCAGTAGCACTTTAAGAGTTCCTCAACATGCTGAGGTACCACATATGCTCTTTTGGATTCACTAAATGGATGTCGGCACAGAATGCGTTCTCCAACCTGTAAAACCGAAGTCATAGATGAGAAGATCTGATCAATTATCAAGTAGTTATGCTGCTAGACAGGCAGTGTGGATACAAATAATTTCATGGCTTACCTTTGGAGGGGGTTCATTTTCCCCTGTCATTATGTCCACAAGAGGGTAACCTTCCTTCCCATACAATCTGTAACACCGTTTTTTGCAAGGAATTGAAACCTAGAACCAAAAACACAATGAGCCTTCGTATGGAACCACAAAAGCAACAAGATAAAGAGCACTTCTTAAACAAACCTTGGTAACATCTTCAGAAAGCTTAATTCGAGGCTGATTATTTATTTCAACTAACTTGAAGACAACCCCTAGAGCTGCTTGAGCATAGCATGTGACCAAATGGGTTCCAATACCAAATGCATCAACCTCATGACCCTGTGAATAGATCATCATAGATAAATAATTAAATATGATTTAGATGTACTTTAGTTTCTTAGTGACCATATGAAGAAACAATGCTTGCAATATCTGTCATGCTCCTGATGCTTTTACCTGTTTATTCAAAGCATCCAAAGTTTCCTCATTAAGGTCATTGCTCGCTGTAATGCTCATCTTTCCAAAACCAGGCACTCCAAACTCTTTTTCAATAGCACAAAAGAATTTCCTGGCTTCACAAGACTGATATGCAAGATCACCAGAGTCCAGTCTAATACCTATAGCTTTATACCTGCAAACAATACAAGAAACAAAACAACTGCACTAATAAACAATGTGAATTGTGGCCGATGCTAGAAGGTTTCTGGAATTTTGGAGACAAGCTAATGAGTGCCCAGTTAACAACAGCCAGGTTAATGCTCAGAACATTGAACGTTGGAAGAAGCTGAATGCGGACACAGTTGTGGATATATCAAACAAAAGGATGGGATTTGGTTGTATTCTACGTGACTCTGATGGGAGCTTTATTGCTGCAATGCAGATTCCTTGCAGAGGTGTTTTCACAACAGCAGAAGCGGAAGCTATCAGTATGACAGAGGCACTAAGTTGGCTCGAAAAAATTGATGTGGAAGTTGAAATAGACGCTCTCAAAGTCCATCAAGGATTGCTTTTCCATAATTCTGCTACTACTTTTGATTTAATCATTAGAGATATTCAAGAAATAGCTAAACACTTTTCTAATATTAGCTTTTTATTTGCCAAACAATCTGCGAACATAGCAGCCATTTGTTAGCAAAGGATGTTGTTACGAAGTCAGGTTGTTTGGAATGATTCACCATTCCGTTTCCTCTTCTGTTTGATGTTATCGCCCCGGACAAGTCAAATTAATGAACTGATTTCTTTCTTTCAACCCAAAAATTAAATTTAAAAAAAAAAAAAACAAAAAAAAAACAGAAAAAAAAATGTGAATTTGGAGAACACAGTTTTATCAATTGAACACCCATGTCACAATTTGTGTGTGTGTGTGTGTTTTCTTATCAAACTTCATTACATCTTCAATGGCAGGGAATACATTTTTCACATAAATTTTCTCATATAATGTAAAGCCAATAAGCAATTGAATATTTTGAACTCACCCCAAATCATTAAGTGCAAGAGCAACAGCACAAAAATTTGGAATGCCACTTCTAATAACCTGGTAAAGCAGATTTAAGTGTTAAACAATAGACCAACTTTGGAAGAGAGAAGGAAGAGAAAAGGGAGAGGAGGAGGGGGGGGATGGATTCTAGGGCCAATTAAGCACTCAATATTACTTACATCATAAGTGTCCACAAGGGCCAAAAAACTGCCAGGAAATGCCAGTGCATATGATGTGAAAGCTGCTATTTCACTCTGATTTGTCTCGCCAAAAATTCCACCTAGTAATTTTGACCACTGAAAAATCAAGTAGACTCGTCAAACAAATGATATATCTGTGTGTTAATTATAACAGGATAAGCACCCAACTTTCCATTACAATTTGCAAATTTGGAGGAGCAAAACAGATGCATTTCATCTGTTGATTGTAGAACTATAATCAAATGTTGGTATAAAAAATGAAATCTACTGCCATGGGGAAAAATAGGTAATGGTTTGGAAAGCATAGTTATTAGTATACCAGATAAGATGTCAAGACTTGCATTGTATCAATTTGTTACTAGCACTAAGCGTTTCACATATATGCAGAGACCAGAGCACAAAAATGTCAATCAGAACTCATATGCTTGGAAATTACTTAACACATGGGACAGCTGAACCATAAAATAATAGCATGGCTCTCATCAATCAATGAATATATTATGACAAGTAAAAACTGAAAATGGAGAATGATGCAAAAATTAATAAATATGTAGTATGTCAACCAATCCAATATAAAACAAACAAATCAAGCAGTTTGTGCAATTGCCAGCACCTTCAATTTATTAAGCCATGCTTGCACCAGACTAACAAAGTCATCGCAGACACTGGAACCATCACTCCTATGAAGGGACTTCTCAACTATCTCATCTGGGCTCTGCAATTACTGGACCAAGTAAGATACATAATAAATCATGCAAGAAAAGACAGTACATCCACACATCTCAATAACGGGGCATATTAAAGTGGCTTGGGCTCCATAAAAAAGGCATGGGTTATAACAATGTCTTAAATTACAGAAGACAGACAGAATAAAAAACTAACAATTGATAACAATGTAGATCCTAAGAGATTACTAGTTGATATTCGACATTAAACTCAATGTAACCGAGGCTCTGAGAGTGATGGGAGTTCTAACTGATACTTCAAGGCCAACTTCTAGCATATATTGTTTGGGGTTACATATACCATAAATGAGCTAACAAAGGCATGGGAATGTGTTCCACGAAGCGGAATTCCAAATATCTTTCCAGCAGCCACATTACTGTAACATTTTTGAAACAGGGTATTAGAAATTGATCAGTGCACCTAAATTCCAAATATGAACACAAGGAAATATGATATCAACTAAAATCTGTTCTCATTCATTCTTCATTAAATTGTTCAAAATTATTAAACATGCTTTTAAATAATTGATTCACTAGAGTTGTATAGGGAGAGCCAAAGAGGTGACAAAGTTGAATGTACAACTGGTTCTAAGGTAAACATGGTATTAGGCAGAATTTGGACATCTCCTGCAAATTCACACGAATTACACAAATTTGATGCTGTGAAGACTGGAGTGGTACGGGTAGAAATATTGAAAGAATTCTTCAAGAACACCTATATAATAGTTGAAGTATCAAGGAAAAATACAATAGGGGGCCAGACGATGCACTTAATTGATATGTACCCATAACAGCCCATTAAATTAAACAAATATCTAACAGGATTTACCTTGTAGCATCAAATCCTCCCATATAGCAATACTTTGACGCCCCTATACCACCGTCAGGACCCTATTATAAGAAAGATCCAAGAATCTTTTAAGTATAAATGACATAGGTGAATTTTTTTTAATACAAAATAAGCAACCTGCGCTCGTCGGAGTCCAAATTCAAGAAGTAATTTTTCCTTCCCAGCAACAAAGCGATGTCTTGCAGCGTTGGTAGTAACTAATGATGCATAATTTATAAGATTTACAAAAGGAGTTTCCAACAGTTGAGCCACCTGGAAAGGATAAAGGAAACATTATAACAAGAACTGAACATGACACCAAACAATGAGTACTGCCGTTTAAAGAGATACTCACAGCAACTGGTCCTTCAACCCTCATCAAGGGTACCTTAGGAAAGACAACAGATCCTTCAGATATGGAATATATTTCAACATCAGAACAGTCAATGCTCCGTAGGTACTCAAAGAATCCATCCTAGAGTCCATTGAGAAGCATATATTAGTAAAGAGCATAGTCAAACTTAAAGCACCATTTGCAAATGTATAACCTAGGCACCTCCTTAACTCATCTCATAAATTCGACATAAACAGAACTGTCTTCACACGTTCTTGGAACTTTTGCCATGTTAATTATCTCTAGAATGCAGGCACAAGTTTCTTAGACGCGATTAAAATGTTTCCTAAGAAGCTAAATTTTGTCCACAGATGGCCTTGTATAATGATAATGCTCATAACAAAAATAAAGATGATACATATACACATTCACTTGTCTGTGGTGAATCACCTCACATGATGACGGCAATGACTGCCGGAGAAAAGCAATCTCATCCTCTCTAAATTTAAAATTAGCAATGAGCTTTATGCACTCTTCCAACCCAGCAAAAATTGTATATTCACCACCAAATGGATTCTTCCGGAAATACAAGTCAAAGCTACAAGATATTACTAATAAGAGATTAGTGCCATACAATAAAGATAAAAATAACAGAATCAAATGAAGTTAACTATATTGATATACAGAGTACAATAAAAAATGCATGCATAGCAGATGCATTGAACCAATGATCTAGGAAGAGTGATATTCTTATCTAACATTACAAGTACAAGTACAAATGCTCCTGTAAGCATAACTGCATAAGACAAATTTTATAAACTTGTAATCATGCCTGGAAGGCTGGAAGGGAATTTTAATTATTTAGAAAATGATCTCCTGGTATGCAAAACATTTCAGTACATACATAAATGCATGATAGCAGCTGACATGAATTTTAAGATGTGCATATGAATACAAAAATGAGCAAAACCGCGAGGATTAACATTAATAAAACTACTCTCCAGATCAAATATTCCATAATCAACAAAGCCTAATGTAATGATTGCATCGAACACATTATGTTGCATACAACAATTAAGAAAATCACAGAGAAAACATAACCAAAAAAGAAAAAAGTGGAAATTAGCGACTCACACGGCTCGCTCATTGTGCTTGCCAGCTTTCCAGTAAGCATAGGCCATGGTGAACTGATAGAGGTCCGTGAGGAGAGGAGTCACCATCGGATTGGTCGGTCCGGCGATGTTATGCCCCTCACACTTGCGCTCCTTCTTCGGCCCATTAGATACAGCTGCCATGTCTGTTCTAAGGAAATCCTAGGGCTTCCAATTCCCAATCCGGCTCTATATACACACAGACAAAGACCCTTGTCCGCGTAAGTATGAACTATTCTATTACCTATATTCTATGGAGAGGTGAATGAAGCGGAAATCCTTGAGGAACCAGGTTCCAGAGATTTATAGGACCGTTAAGAACAAAGATTTTGCAGGAGTATATGCCACAATCTATGGATGTTTTTATTGTTTGCGTATTTGCAGTTATTAAATTTATATTGTGTCGAGGTGGGACAAAAACGACAAGAATATGAAATGCAAGGTCGAGGAAGCTGGAGAGTGGTGGTGGCGGAATTCAACACTTGCAGAGCGGGTTCTGGCGGGGCCCAGCTCGCTAAGGCTGTGGGTGGGTTGGAATTGGAATACAAATCCGAATGAGAATCAAATACTTAATAATAGATGAAGTAAAATTAACAAGGGTTATTTTGTTCTCACATTGTAACTTTTATTCTCACATTCCATTAAATTGCAAATCATTAGGAGTCTCAGAATTATAATTTCATGAAAAAGTATTTCTTGACCCTTACGGTTGACGTTCAACCTTTTGGAAGAATGAAAAAGTATTTCTTTCTTAACATATTTAAAATTTTTTAACTTTTTAAAATTAGGGGAGAAATGAATTTTAGTAAGTTTTTTATTCCGACTATAACTATAATGCTATGCTTAAACCAAGTGTCAAATATTTTGGTTGACATCTACTACAATAATTGCAATTTACAAGCAAACGAGTCATATATTATTGGCACTTTTACACTGATCTTATAATCAAATAAATTTACACTTTCAAATATTATAATTATTTGTAACTTCACTTTTAATTTTATTTTACTTTTTGACGGGGGAAGGAGATGAAGCCCCGCGCAGACTCTCTCCTGCTCAAGCAATCACTGTCGACCAAGGCATTGAGCCTATCTTCCTCTATTCCTCATAATACTCACAAACACCACTGGGTGGATCGCCAAATTCAATCCAATTGCGCCCTTCCTAAATAGCAATATTAGCAAGTCCATCCGCCACTCTGTTTTGGTTGCGAGGAATGTGAGTAATATATAATAATATATAATAAAAAAAAAAATTTATTCGTGCATCGCAGGGATAATTTACTAGTGTATATTAATTGATTTGATTTTACCTAATTAACATACAATAAAGTCAAATCAATTAATGATTAATTAACATAAGATTTGAAATTCAACATTTGTGGGATGTACCCACCATAACAGTATAGTATTAATAAAAAAAAAAACAAAACAAAATAAAAAATCAAATTTATCTCAATTAAATTGGTCAAATAATTGATTTGGTAATTACATGAGTTCAAATTTGGCTCATCGTCAGAGCCTACGGACTCTTTATTGCCTTTCTTGGTTGATTGTTTTCATAAATCAATAAAGGTAGGTCACTTAGTTAATTTATATGGTATTAGTTAAACTATTTAAAAATATAAGAGGGAATTTTCAAAATGGTCCCCTGACCCTTTCTCAAATTGATCTTATGATTTTTAATTGAACTCAAACTAGTCCTCTAACTATTAAATTTTAAACTAAATCGATCTTCCGTTAATTGGGTATGAACTTGATAACAAATTAAAGGGCAAAATAGGAAATTCAGCTCATATATTCTATTATATTAAGATTTCGACTCCATTGTTGAATATACTAAAGTTGTTGCATAAAATCTAGGATTTCCTGATATGCTCTAGAAGAATTTTGCTACCTTTGCTTAACTTCAATTGGATTAGGGTTCTTTAGTCTTTAGGTTGTTCGCTAATTTAGGAGAAAAATCAAAGGCACTAATAATTTAAACATTATACAATGTAAATTTTCAGCTTTGCCCTCTAATTTGATTGTTAAGTTCACGTCTGAGTAATGAATAACCGATTTGACTTAAAATCTACTAGTTAGAGGATTAGTTTGAGTTCAATTAAAAGTCATATGACTTTTTGAAGATTCCTCGTAAAAGAAGAAGAAAACATACGCAAATTACTACAATTGAAAACCTACGCAAATTACTACAATTTGATTCGATGTTATCCAGTCCGTGCTCTGTGCACTCTTAGCTGAGGATCCAATTCTGACTATGACTTCAAAAAGACGTATCAAAATCTAAATGGTCGTCAAACCCATTTCGCAAGTTTTGTGGAATTCATTCATTCAAATTTCAAGGTTTTCCATTCCAATTCTTACCTACCGTTGGTCACGTCTCAAGGGTAAGAGTCATACAACCTTCGAGCACGCCAATTGAAGTCCTCCGATTCCGTAAAAGCAATTTGAGAGCTTATTTATCACGATTAATGTTATTCAATTCGACGTGTTTAAAGAGAAATTATCGTATTTTTTAATTGAATTATTACTCACCACAATCTCTCGATATTAGAATCATTAGGATTATAGGTGTAAAAGTCATTCGATTTGTTAACTGATATCACTTTTTTTTTTTTTTAATTTTTATTTCCTCTTACCTTAAAAAAATCCATTGATTTATTGACCAATATTGGGCATGTTCTTTAGAAATTCCCAAATTGGTGTATTCTCAATGTATAATTCCATGAGCAAATGTACACAAATAATGATTAATTGATATATCTCTAAAATTTATTTATATGTTGCCATTTACTTAAAACGAATAATGCATGTGTGTCTATCTTCTTCTTCTTTTTTTTTTTTTTTTTAAGTGACAAGAAAAACTTACCGTTACTGTCCGAGAGTGTGCATTGTGTAAATTTTACTCTTGTGTGATGAGTTCAACTGTGCTCTCTTGTGCGACGAGTTCAACCGAGAGAATGTTGGTAAGAATTGAACTCATGATTTTTTTATTTTTTTTTTGATTTAGTGGCTATGAAGCATTTTATTTTATTTTATTTTTTTAATATCAACAAAATTGTCGCTAGCCATTGCCCATTGGCTTGGCATGAAGGTAACTAGGGAGTATAGTGCAGCTTACGTGCATATTCCAAGGAGTAAATTCCAATGATTTATACGTCATTTTTTGTGGTCTGTTTGGTTAAATTACGCCGAATGAGATAAATTATACTCCGTAAATTTTATTTTTTTTGTGACGGGAGGAATTCGAAAACACTATCTGAATATATGTATTTGATAAATTTTGTTTTTATGTAATAGCTCATCTATTACATTGTAGAGCGGAAGGGTAAACCTCACTAGAAACATCATGTACGACGGGGCTTGATTAAAAAATTATTGACAAAAATTAAACTCATGACCTTCTGATATGAGAATTATGCTCCACCGATTCAATCACTCATTTCGAGACTTTAAAAAAAAAAAAAAAAAAAAAAAAAAAAAAAAAAAAAAAAAAACTGTGACCTTTATTCAACCTTTGGCAGCAATGAAAGGTTCCCTAGCTATTCATTGTAATAATCAGACGAGGTAACCTTAATATACTTTGGGCGGCCCAGACAAGGTGAGTTGAATTCACTTTGGGCTGCCCTGTAAAGCCCGTAATTTTTTTTTTATTTTAGTTTCTAATTTTCTTTATTGAGTTATTTTGTACTCTGAACGGCAAATTATTATATGGACCATGGTCCACATAGTGCTGTATAAACTATAACAAAAGTACATTTTTAATATACTAAATGTACATTATTTATGTATAGAATGTACTGACCCCTTAGTAGTGGTGCTAGAGGCACGGACCATGCGAATGACACTTCGGTGCTACCATGTTGGTGGACTTTTTGGTGGTTACGGAGTGGGGCATGTAGTTGCTCCGGAGGAATATGGAGGCGATATAAGGGTGGCCTGGAGATACAGGTTGGAACTGATATAAGGATGGAGAGGAGTAAATGTTGGAACTTGGTATAAGATTGGAAAATGGATTGTGTGCTTTGATGATTACTTGCTAATTAATTGTCATTGGATCCCATTGTTGCCTTTAATTGTTATTTATGAGCTTACCTGTCTATTATGCCTTGCAAATGTAGGATGTATGCTAGTATCTCTATGATATTCGAAATGTTGTCTTATTGATGGTGTCTCGAGTCTTGATCCTGGTTTTAAAGCTAGAGTTTGTTTAGGGTTATATATATATTCCAGTCTCAAAATGATTTTCTTATATCTACCTATATTGTACTCAACGCGTGGGAGTGGGTTACCAGCATTATTCGCTGACGGTTGTTACACCGCATGTTTTTTCAGGTACTGACTAATAGCCTCGGAGTGCGTTAGACGGACCCGCAGATTTAACATTAGTTAGTTCTAGTCATAGTTGCTATGGCCTGTGTGCCTTGAATTGTATTTGAATATTAATTGTGGATTATGCTTAGACTAGTTAGTTGCAGCCGTGCATCTAGGTTCTCAAACCTAGGTGTGGCATAGCACCCCGACTCTTATGGATGGTTTACGCTCTGTTTGGATGATTATCGTTAGATTGCATTTATTATATAAGTTTTTAAATGTTTAAAAATTAGAGGTGTTACAGAATATATCTCAAATAGAGACAGGATCCGAGAGTACAAAAAGGACGCATAATCAATGTAATAGCTCTTCAAGAATAAGACATTTTCAAGGATACTTAACAAACATAAGCTCATAGGAATAACCCACCAAACACGGATTCCAATGACATAGCAACAACAAGTAGGTCTCAACTCAACAACTCAATGGATTCCAAGGATAGGGATTCAAAGATAATAAGTTAAAGTCGAATTCAAAAAGATTCCAGGATAAAGATAATAACGGGATCATACTAGTATCAAGAATATATCAATTATATTAGCACTATAAATCAACGAAAGCTCACAAGAATACTTAAGAAGAATTTATAAGCATTCTAGATACAAATTCGACAATAAATTATGGGAATGTCAAGAATAGATGTTATCAACAATTCGAGGCTCAAACTCAATCAGAACAACTTCTATTACTCAGCTCGAGACACTATATAGCTTCGATAGACAATCAAAGTAAACTGGAGGTAATCAGGATAACTCAGGGATCGACAACAAGCTACGAGATAATGTCCAGAAAGCACAAGCTCAAGGTCAGCAGTACGAATTCAAAGATTCTCATGCCATCAATAACAAGGAATTTAGAATAGAAGATTGACACAATGAACACAACAATATACTCAAGATTCAACGTCAAAACCAAACATATAAACAAGAAATATGCTCAATCAACCAACAACATAGTGTATGCTCATATATAGAGTGAAAATAGATTTT